CAGGGAAAAATCCCAAATCTGCAGGGAATGACCCCAATGACCCCAAATCTGCACCTCAACCCCAAATCTGCAGAAAATAATCCCAAATTTGCAGGAAACCATCCCAAATTTGCAGGGAATTATCCCAACGTTGCAGGGAATAATCCCAATGACCCCAAATCTGCACCCCAATCCCAAATCTGCAGGAAATGATCCCAAATCTGCAGGAAAAAATCCCAAATCTTCATCCCAATCCCAAATCTGCAGGAAATAATCCAAATGACCCCAATTCTGCACCCCGATCCCAAATCTGCAGGGAATGACCCCAAATCTGCACCTCAATCCCAAATCTGCAGGAAAAAATCCCAAATCTGCAGGGAACGACCCCAAATGTGCAGGAAATAATTCAAATGACCCCAATTCTGCATCCCAATCCCAATCCTACAGGGACCCATCCCAAAAATCCCAAATCTGCAGGAACCACCCAAATTCTGCAGGGCACAATCCCAATTCTGCAGAAAATAAATCTAAACCTGCAGGGAATGACCCCAAATCTGAAGGGGAAGATCCCAAATCTGTGGGGAATGACCCCAAATCTGTAGAAAATAATCCAAATGACCCCAGTTCTGCACCCCAATCCCAAATCTGCAGGAAAAAATCCCAATTCTGCAGGGAATGACCCCAATGACCCCAAATCTGCATCCTGATCCCAGTCCTACAGGGACCCATCCCAAAAATCCCAAATCTGCAGGAAACCACCCCAAATCTGGAGGAAAAGATCCCAAATCTGCAGAGAATGACCCCAAATTTGCAGGAAAAAATCCCAAACCTGCAGGAAATGACCCCAAATCTGCACCTCAATCCCAAATCTACAGAAAATAATCCCAAATCTGCAGAGAATGACCCCAAATCTGCATCCCGATCCCAATCCTACAGGGACCCATCCCAAAAATCCCAAATCTGCAGGAAATTACCCCAAATGTGCAGGGAAAGATCCCAAATCTTCATCCCAATCCCAAATCTGCTGGAAACAACCCCAATTCTGTAGAAAATAATCCAAATGACCCCAATTCTGCACCCCAATCCCAAATCTGCAGGAAATGATCCCAATGATCCCAAATCTGCAGAAAATTACCCCAAATCTGCACCTCAATCCCAAATCTGCACGGAAAGATCCCAAATGTGCAGGGAAAAATCCCAAATGTGCAGGAAATGACCCCAATTCTGCACCCCAATTCCAATCCTACAGGGACCCAATCCCAATGATCCCAATTCTGCAGGAACCACACTAATTCTGCAGGGAACAATCCCAATGATTCAAATCCTGCAGGGAACCATCCCAAATCTGCTGGAAAAAATCCTAAATCTGCAGGGAACGACCCCAAATGTGTAGGAAATAATTCAAATGACCCCAAATCTGCACCTCAATCCCAAATCTGCAGGAAATGACCCCAATTCTGCAGGAAAAAATCCCAAATCTGAAGGGAACGACCCCAAATCTGTAGAAAATAATCCAAATGACCCCAATTCTGCCCCCCAATCCCAAATCTGCAGGGAAAAATCCCAAATTTGCAGGGAATTACCCCAAATCTGTAGGGAATGATCCCAATTCTGCACCCCAATCCCAATCCTACAGGGACCCATCCCAAAAATCCCCATCATGCAGGAAACCACCCCAATCCTGCAGGGAAAAATCCCAAATCCTGCAGGGAATTATCCCAATTTTTGGGGTTTTTTTGGTGGGTTTTTATCTCAGCATTTGGGATTGACACCTCCACACTCATTTGGAGAAGTTTCATTAAAAAAAAATCTGATTTTTGAGCGGGGATTTGTCAGCCCAGCAGGGATCAGAGCCACCCCTGCCATGAACACAGAGTGGAAAAAAAAACCTGCAAAACTCAACATAAAAACCTGGAATTAAAATCCTCAACTTACACAGGAAAAATGGTTTTGATCCATTTTGCAGCTACAATTGAATAAATAGAATCGCTCTGCTTTGGTG